ATGAAATTTAAACGCTATTATGCTTACTGCAAGAATGTGTGGTCTCTTAAGCTTTGCTAGCTACCTGGGTGGTCCTTTGCTTCTTTTTTTATATAAATTTCTTGTTATTTTTTTACTTTTCCCACAACAACACTTTAAAAAAATTCAAAAAATTTAATTAAAATCTATGTAAATTTAGTGATGAATAAATAAACTTGTTATAAAAGTAGAAAGACATTAACCTGAGTTTTTATTATATTTTCTTTTTCTTAATTTGGGATTGTTTGCATTTGGAAACTTCTCTTTTTTTGTTTTGGTTTATATCTAAACTTATCAAATTAATTTTAAACAACACATACACTACGTGTTAGATAACTTTGCTGCTGCTGTTGTTGAGACTTCAGCAAGAATATTTTTGTTTAATTTTCTAATAAAAGGTAATTAAGAGAAAACAACAATATAAAACACAATAATATGTATTTTTTATTGATATCAATGTATAAAAATTAAAAAAAAAAATCCCCTTTGCTACTATTCGTAGTTAACTTCCGGTTTTGTGAGGAGCCTGCAGTTGTCAAAAACTGTTGATAATTTTCTTCATACTCCACTTTAAGTTTTTATTTGAGATCAAGAACTTTATTTATAGAAGTCGTCTTGATTCTAGTTCAGTTCAAATTAAGTTCAGTTCTAGTTCAGATCTAATTCAGTTCAAATTCAGTTCAAGTTCAATTCTAGTTCAGTTCTAGTTCAGTTCTAGTTCAGTTCTAGTTCAGTTCTAGTTAAGTTCTAGTTCAGTTCTAGTTCAGTTCTAGTTCAGTTCTAGTTCAGTTCTAGTTCAGTTCTAGTTCAGTTCTAGTTCAGTTCTAGTTCAGTTCTAGTTCAGTTCTAGTTCAGTTCTAGTTCAGTTCTAGTTAAGTTCTAGTTCAGTTCTAGTTCAGTTCTAGTTCAGTTCTAGTTCAGTTCTAGTTCAGTTCTAGTTAAGTTCTAGTTCAGTTCTAGTTCAGTTCTAGTTCAGTTCTAGTTCAGTTCTAGTTCAGTTCTAGTTCAGTTCTAGTTCAGTTCTAGTTCAGTTCTAGTTCAGTTCTAGTTCAGTTCTAGTTCAGTTCTAGTTCAGTTCTAGTTCAGTTCTAGTTCAGTTCTAGTTCAGTTCTAGTTCAGTTCTAGTTCTAGTTCAGTTCTAGTTCTAGTTCAGTTCTAGTTCTGTTCTAGTTCTGTTCTAGTTCTGTTCTAGTTCTGTTCTAGTTCTGTTCTAGTTCTGTTCTAGTTCTGTTCTAGTTCTGTTCTAGTTCTGTTCTAGTTCTGTTCTAGTTCTGTTCTAGTTCTGTTCTAGTTCTGTTCTAGTTCTGTTCTAGTTCTGTTCTAGTTCTGTTCTAGTTCTGTTCTAGTTCTGTTCTATTTCTGTTCTAGTTCTGTTCTAGTTCTGTTCTAGTTCTGTTCTAGTTCTGTTCTAGTTCTGTTCTAGTTCTGTTCTAGTTCAGTTCTAGTTCAGTTCTATTACAGTTCTAGTTTAGTTCTAGTTCAGTTCTAGTTTAGTTCTAGTTCAGTTCTAGTTCAGTTCTAGTTCAGTTCTAGTTCAGTTCTAGTTCAGTTCTAGTTCAGTTCTAGTTCAGTTCTAGTTCAGTTCTAGTTCAGTTCTAGTTCAGTTCTAGTTCAGTTCTAGTTCAGTTCTAGTTCAGTTCTAGTTCAGTTCTAGTTCAGTTCTAGTTCAGTTCTAGTTCAGTTCTAGTTCAGTTCTAGTTCAGTTCTAGTTCAGTTCTAGTTCAGTTCTAGTTCAGTTCTAGTTCAGTCCTAGTTAAATTCTACTGAAAATCAGCTAATTAGTTGCCTGAATGGCTGCAATATATTTATAGGGAATTTGTATATCAAATGAAAGGTATTTCGAAGACATTTCTATGTGTTAAATTAAATTAAATCTTACCTTTAAAGAAAATCTTCGAAATTCATCATTTAAAAGTCTTTTAATTTATGTCTTTGTTTAAATATTGCATTTTATTTTAAATTAATAAGGATTGTTTAGTTTTTTTTTATTATTTTGTTTGAGACGTTGAATATGAAATTATTATTTCTTGTTTTTATTTTAAATTCATTCTTAGATATTTTACGACTTTTTAGGATTTTTTTTTATTTTCAATAATTTAATTTATTAACTTTACACTATTTTATGTCTGTCATCATTTCGAAAAACAATAAAAGAAAATGAAAAATCTTTAAAACAAAAGAATTTATTAAGTATTTAGTAATTTGTTTATTTATTTCTTTAAATTTTCTTTATTATTTTTTTATTAATTATTGTTGTTATGGTTTTTTGTTTAGTTAAATTTATTTTGTTGTTGTTTTTAATACTGTGTGTACATATGCATATCGTACATATTTCTTTTTTTTAAGGTTAAAGTTAAGATTTCATCAAACCAATATTTTGTTTTAATTATAATCAATTTTCAGTACTAATAATTAGAATAATAATAATTTTTAATAATAGTTAATTAAATATAATCATGTTTGTTTTCTTTTAATAATAAACTTTTGGGGGAAAATACATAGAGTAGTTGTGGGGGCAGGAGGGGTTAGAGTGTGTGTTAGTTTAGGCGAGCGCAAATAGTTTTTTATATTTTATAGTTTATTTTATTCAGTTGCCTTTTTAAAAAAATCTATTACTAATATTTGAACTATTTATACATAAATACAATTGAAATGATAGAGTAGTAAGTAGTACCTAGTAAATGATTAGTTTTTGTTTTGTTTTCGTTTAGGTGAAGTAAATGAATAGTACAATACATACATTAATTAAATTATGTAATTAACTTTTTTTAAAACTAAAATTAAAAACATTAATACATTAATAGTACAAATAAATAATAAAATATCTACAAAACTTAAGTTTTAAAGTTTTTAATGCAATAATATAATACATTATATACTTAAATTAATTAAATTAAAATTAAAAATAATAATAAGAAAAATTACATAAAGTTAAATTATTAACGAAACAACTAATACAATAGAATTTACACAAGAAAGTATTTTTAAAATAATGTTCGCTTTTCTTTTATATCGTTTTTTTTTTGCACAGTTTATTCTTGTCAATTATAATGTAGTTACTGCCAGCGAATTAAATTTCAACAATTCAGGCCGTTTACAAACAAATTTATTTATTTATTGAGTCAGTAATTAATTCGATTAAAATTACTTAATTGCAAAAAAATGTATATGTTGATGAGAATGAGTTATATTTAACTTTCCGAGCAGGGATGGAAAATTTAGTAATGTTGAACTTTTTGGCAATGATAATTAACATAGTACCCATAGGATATATATGGTCTATTGACTGGTCTATAAATTAGTCTATAGACTAGTCTATTAACTGGTCTATAGATTAATTGACTGGTCTATAGACTAGAACTGAACTAGAACTGAACTATAACTGAACTATAACTGAACTATAACTGAACTATAACTGAACTAGAACTGAACTAGAACTGAACTAGAACTGAACTAGAACTGAACTAGAACTGAACTAGAACTGAACTAGAACTGAACTAGAACTGAACTAGAACTGAACTAGAACTGAACTAGAACTGAACTAGAACTGAACTAGAACTGAACTAGAACTAACTAGAACTGAACTAGAACTAAACTAGAACTGTAATAGAACTGAACTAGAACTGAACTAGAACAGAACTAGAACAGAACTAGAACAGAACTAGAACAGAACTAGAACAGAACTAGAACAGAACTAGAACAGAACTAGAACAGAACTAGAACAGAACTAGAACAGAACTAGAACAGAACTAGAACAGAACTAGAACAGAACTAGAACTGAACTAGAACTGAACTAGAACTGAACTAGAACAGAACTATTGACTTGTCTATTGATTGGTCTATAGACTAGTCAAATGATTGGTCTTTAGACTAGTCTATTGACTAGTATATAGTCTATTCAGTAGGTGAGTCAATAGTTTAGTCAGTAGACTACTCAATAGATAAGTACTTTTAATGCTAAAAAAGTACTATTTTTGAAAAAAGTTAGTTAAGTATATTAAAATATCAATTTCCATGCTTGTCTCGCAGTGTGTGGATTTGTTATGATTACGGAAGGGATGGGAAGGGGGGAAAGAGGTTGATTGTTTGGTTTTTGTTTAATGTTTGGTGATGCTCTCATCGTTTCTCCAAATAAACTTTGCACAGAAGAAAGAGTATTTAAGTATGAGTGTGTATGTGTGTGTTTGTATGTGTAAAAGTGGAAGAGGAAATTAAGCAACGGTATTTTTTATGTTTGTATGTGCTTGTGTGAGTAGGAAATTCTAGCCAAAAGTAATATTTTTTATTTTGAAAAAGTGTTTACGCATGTGCTATTCAATTCGAATTTGTTGTTAATATTTTGTTGCTTTTTTTGAATTAAATGTTTTTTATCTTTCCTGTTTTCGAGTTGCTTATTATTTTGTTCGAAAGGCACTAATTATAATTTTGTTTTGTTGTTGTTGTTGCTTTTTTAAGTACATGTATTAGAGTGTCAGATTGTAGGTGATGTTGATGTTGTCAATGTGTGTATGAGTGTTTATTTAAATGTTCTGTTTTCTTTTTATTTAGTATAAATTAGAGCTTAAGCAGTTGTTTATTCTCTGTGCCTCGTTTTTTTTCTTCTTCGTTTTCTTTTTGGAACTAATAATATTCGAAAATAAATTTTGTTTATAATTTTAGTTTTCATTGCTGGTTAATTTTCGAAATTACATACAAAAATATTAAAAATAAAATTGTTTATTAAATGTTTACAGTTACAGTTGTTAATTGTCTTTTTATATGATTGTTTTCTTCTTCTTCTTCATCTTCTTAATTTTTTCTTTGTTATGTTTAAAGTGTTTCAAGCATTTCAATTTCATTTAATTTCTTTTGTTTTATATTTTTATTTGTTTCTCAAGTGTCAATATATATTTTTGTTTTATTTCACGAATAAACACATTTAAATAGTGTATGTGTGTGCCGCATAGTATTTGCTAAAGCGTTTTTTTTTATTTTATTACAAATTTTTCGTTATTTTTAAAATACAGATACATAGATGCTACTACATACTTTACTCCTTCTTCATTTAATAATTTCAATGATTTTTGTTTAATTTAAATGTATATTTTTGTTTTGGTTTATATTATAAATAGTAATTGCAGGTTTTTGTTTAGTTGTTTTTTTGGTTATTTAAAAAAACAAAAGCTGGGGGCAACTAATTAGAAATGTTTCTTTAAAATACTTATTGTAATAGAACGTCATTTCACTCCATTAGTCCGCTGGTTTAGTTAAAATATAATAGAGCTTTAAGTTTAAAAAGCTTTTTCAAGTTTCACATCTATTCTTGTGTTTTGTTAGAGATGAAACTTAAGAAAGCTTTTTTGGAAGCAAGAAAACTTTGCACAAAAAATATTTGTCGTTTTATTCAAACAGTCTTCTGGTTTAGTTAAAAACTTTGTAAATAGGTTGGAGGTTAACCAAAGCTTTTTGGTAAAAAACAAAACTTTTTTTAAGTTTCATTCTTTGTCTGTGCTTTCGACGAATATAAACCTTAAGAAAGCTTTTTTTGAAGCAAGAAGCTTTGCACCAAAACTACTTGGAAAAGTGTTGCTATTTTACACAATCGACCTCCCGGTTTATTTGAAAGCATTACAAGTAGCTTTTTTAGCTTCACCCCTTTTTTGTGTGTTTTTGTTAGAGATGAAACTTTGAAAGCTTTTTTGAAGCAATAAAGTTCTACTTGTCATTTTTGTCAAATTGTCCTATGTTTATTTTAAAAAGTAGGTTAATTAAAGCTTTTCTAAGTTTCATTCTTGTTTTTTTTTGCTTCTGTTAGAGATAAAACTTAAGAAAGCTTTTTATAACAACTACTTAAAATGTTCTAATTTTACTCATATAATATAATTAAAGCTTTTTGTTTTAAAAAGCTTTTTCAAATTTCAACTCTTTCTCTTTACTTCTGTCAGAGAAAAAACTTAAAAAAGCTTTTTAGAAGAAAGCTTTATACAAAAACTGCTAGAATGTTGCATTTAACTCAATTAAAAGCCTTTGTAAGTAGGTTGTTGAATAACAAAAGCTTTTTGTCTTAAAAAGCTTTTTCAAGTTTCATCTCTTTGTTTCTATTTTTGCCAGAGATAAAACTCAAAAAAAGCTTTCTTTCTTAGTGCAAAAAACTTTACTTTCATGAAAATTAATTAGTTTTTTTTTTTTAATTTGTTGGATGATTTTTAGACAAATTTTTCAAATAGAATCCTATGTCCAAGCTCAGTAGTTGAAATCTGTTCAAAGACATTGAATGCGTATTTCAGTGAACTATTTGAAACCTTTTAATCCTAATAATTCAAAATCTATTTATACAAAATTTTAAACATTTGTAATTAGTTGCTCTCAGCTGTTTCAATAAGTAGTAAGTGTATGTATGTTAATGTAGATGTTTGTATGTTTCTGTGTATTAATTTAAAAATTAAGAAACGAAATAAAAACACAAAATATCAAATTCATTGTAATTGAAATACAAAATGATCACTTAATAAAAATGAGTGATGGCATGATTGAATGAGCAGCTTAAAATAGTTTTGGTGTTTGTTTGCTTTTCATTTTTTTTGTTGTTTTAATATATTTTTTTTTCTATCTCTCTCGCTCTCTCTTTCTAATTAGTAATAATAAATAACTAAATGAAATTCTAAATTTTGATATTTTCTACTATTTACCTTTATAGTTTTTCTTTTTTTGTTAATTTTTTTAGCATTTGTTGTTGTTTTTACTTAAGAATAATTGTTGTATTCTATTCTGATTAATAGGAATTTATTTAATAAATTATTTGTATTTTATAACTTTGAATAAACGTTTATTTGATTTTGTTTGCTTTTCCTCTCGATTTAATTGTTGTATATTTGATTAAACGAATTATTTGTTTATTATTTCTTTTTTATTATTTTATTATTATTATTTTTTCACTAAATTCTCATAAAAAATGTAACAACTGGAAGTGGTGTTTGGTGTGCGAATTGTTTTTCATTATTTGGTTATATATAAAAAAAATTCCCATAGTACTTATTCGATAATTATTTAATTTAATTTAATTAATTGTTTCATCATTTGAACAATAAAAAAATGAACTTTTATAGATCGTTGCAAAGTTACGCATTATAATTATGCCCATGTATGTATGTATCTGTGTGTGGGTGTGTGTATTTGTTTGTAACTGTATCTGTATGTGTATATGTATGCTGTTATTGTCATGGCTTGAAATATTCCTTCAGATGAATACCTCAAATTCTTATCAAAGTGTTCAACTCACAATAAATGAATGAATGTCCTGCTAATAAACAATTAATCCTAATTATATGACGCAACAGTCCCTCATCATAATTAAACAAATCAACCTCTTACTTGTCGTTTAATAATTGTCTCTTTGACCACTTAAGTGAAATTTCGTTTTCGAACATGTTTTTTTTTGAAAAGTGCATTAATGAGTTTGTTTAAGTTTTCGACTTAGAATTGTATGAAATGAGAATCGATTAGTTTAACAATTGACAGCTACGCATAATTGCCAACATTGCGTAGACGTAACATGCGCTTACGTTCACGATTAATTTTAATTTTAGCAATACGTATCGATTCGGGTAGAGTTGCAGTGGCTGAGGTTGGCAAATAGCCACTGATCATGGTTAAACGACTAGTACTGGGTTTCACTAGTGGCTCATCGTTGTCGTTATCGAGCAGTTCAGGATATATGCTAATGTTATCGATGCTATCGATATCGATATCACCGGCTTCGTTGCGCACATAGGTTAGCTGATGAAATGGTGTGGCCAGCAGTCTTTGTGTAGATTTGCGCAAAGTTTTTCGCGTGGTTAAAGGCGTAGCTGGTACTGGCGCTTTAGTCGACTGTAGAGTCGAGCTAAAAGCTGTTGTTGCTGATGTTATAACTGCTGTATTGCTTTCGGGGGATTCCCTGACAAATGGTGTGGTAACGCTTTTCTCTACAGGATGTTCAAGTTTCAATGATGTTACTGAAGGTTCCAGTAATGATGATAATAATGATGGTTGTGTTTGTATTGTGGTTGATGTCGTTTCAGGCAAACTTGTGGTTTTATCACTTCTTATGGGTATTGAGTTTAACGTAGTGCTGCTAGTTGTCACTTTGTTTGCCGTTTCCATTTTGGAAACTTTATAAATTTGTGTTGGGGAGGTTTCACCTTGTTTGTGGTTATTGGCAATGGGTGCAGTAGTTTTCGTTGCAAACATGCAATCAGTCATCGTTTTACTTCCGTTGTGAGTGGAAGCAGTGCTGTAGGCACAATCATTTGTATATGTTGTTGATGTTGTAGTAAATGTTGCTGCCTCGCTAGCATTATCATAATCCCTGCTTGAAGTCATTTCTCTAGTAGAGCTATCTGTCCATGTTGTGTCACTTACTTCATCGGTAGTTCGATCCGTAGGAGGTGAGCTAATCTCCTCATCTTCAACGTTGTCATCTTCTGCAGTTGTGAGGGTTATGGCAGCTGTAGAATTCTCTAAATCTTCTTTATTGTGTTGTGTGCTTAATGCTGTATTTGAGTCTTCCCAGATGGCCTCATCATCATCCTCATCCAAATTAAGTGTATTCTGAGTATTCTCTAGTTTGGGGGTGGCATAGGTGTTAAATGTCTCCCTAGTAAAGCCATCAACTTCAGCATCCGCTTCCGTATTGTCGTTTAGCCTGGTAGACCAAAAATCAGTTTGAGTAAAGGTTGAGGTATTTGTTGTTGTCGTTCCTAAGTCTGTAGTTAGCGTGGGTGATATAGTTTCATCGATGCTGTTCTCCGTTAAAGTACTTGTAAACACTGATGTTGGAAGAGGTACGGATGTCTGCGAAGATAAACTGTTTTTATCTAAATCAGTCGTCATTGAGGATGATTCCAGAGTTGTGGAGAACCGCCTATCGATATTCGTTTCTGTGACTGTAGAGGCTGTGGCTGAAGAGCCCGAGGAATAGTCTGAATCTTCATCAGTGTACGAAGTTGAGGAAGAGGGATACCAGGTTTCCCACGTTGGTAAGCTGGCCGATGTCGGCTTTACCGATGACAACATAATATCATTGGTCATCCAGGCATAATCAGTAGAGCTGGTTATAAACTCCTCCTCCTCGTCATAGGACGGGCCCATCGATGAACTGCTTATATGCTCTCTGTCTGTTTGTTCTCTAGAATATTCTCGTTCCAGCTCCAATTTCTTTTGTAAGCCTTTTTTGTGCAGCTTATCACCCTTTCTTCTTCGGCCTTTGCGTTTCGCCACCACGACAGTTGATGACATTGTATTACGACTGTCAGATGTAGCATCTGTAGATATAGATATCGGAACCACACTAGTAGGATTTATATCCGAGTAACTAGAGCTTGGAGAGTGATGAGGTTTTGAGGAATTTATTGCTTTTGCTGTAGTTATTGAAGTTGTTGTTGTTGTAGTTGTTGACGCCACCGCTGTGTTAAGCGCAGCGGAAGCAGAAGGACTAGGTCGAACACGTTGACGCAATTTAGTTTTTTGCTTTTGGTCATGCTGTTGCCTTCTGGCCACCTTGTTAGGATCATTGTGATGATGTCGGACCTGATGGTTTTGAGGCGGGTGGTTGTTATTGTTGCTGTTGTTGTTATTATTATGTTTTTTGTTTGTGTGGTTGTTTATACTATGCTGACTTAAGACTAAATTTTGCCTAGAACTATTTAGGTAAGTGCTATTTTTTGGGTTGCTTAAATTGTAGCTATGGCCTCGAATTTGTTGCTGTTGCTGCTGCATCTCCTGTTTCTGTTGCCGTTGTTTATGGCCGTTACGCTGTTTCTTAAACTTTTTGTTGCCGTTACCGCTACCGCCACCACTGCCACTACCGCTGCCGTGGCCATTGCCGCTGTGATGATGCGTAACAGAGTCATCTTGACGTTGAGGATTCTTAAAGCGATTCGTTTTTGTTCGCCCCCCTCCACCACTGCCTCTCCCCGCATGGTTGGTATGGGGCGTAGGGTGTGTGTATTCTGTTTTTGGTATTTTTGTTGTGGTGCTTTTCGTTTTGGGTGCTGAAAAGTGAGTGTGTTGATGGAAAAATTGATCGGTTGGTATTTTGGTGAACATATAACAAGCATCGTTAACAATTTTCTTGGGACCAACGGCTCTACCTCTTTGCGTGAAACCGATGCGTCGCTGCAGATCGACTACAGACCGGAACACGAAATAACCGTGAACAATTGCTTCGTTGAAATAGCAGGTATCTTGGAGTTCTTTCTGTAAATGATATAGAGTAATAAACAGATAAAGAAAACTCTACTATAAACAACTAATTAAAAAAAACATTATTTAATTATTATGTGTTACGATAAAAGGGTTTTATGTATTTACAATAAGTGCCACCTCATAACTTTTCTAGTTTTGTTATTAAACAGAAAATGGAGCAAGTGAAACTTACAACTACTTCCTCAATTGCAATCGAATTGTCATAAAAAGCAGTTGCTTATTTTTATTTATTTCTTTTATATAGTCTAGAGCGTCTGCGTAAATGTTTTAATGAGTCCGACTTTGACACTAAACATTCAACCAAAGTGTTTGTTTACAAAACACTCCAAAATTCGAGTATTCAACAGTTTCGTTTACACATTGTTGTGCAGCTCTTGTTTCTGTTGATCTGCATTGGCTGTTTTTTTTAATATTTTGAAATCTTGAGGTGACAATCGAATCTGAGTGCATGAATTGTAGGAAATCTTTTAAAAGTCACAATATTATGTTATAAATTTTAAGAGATCTTTTAGTGGTTTTAAATAAAGATTTAAAGACCTCTAATAGGAGCTGTATGTTAAGCATATTTAGGACGTTTAAATACATAATATTCAAACTTACCATTCCAACTAGTTTCCAATGATCGTTGAAACACAGATATCTTTGTGTCTCTTTTGCATACAGTGCTATTTTGAAATTGTTGTTCACAAAATCCGGGCGGCCAACTATTGTTATATTTTCTGCAAAAAGAAAGAAAAACAAAAAAGAATTTAACATAAACTTACAAATTGTTGTAATTTAGAATACATTTTAATATACAAAACTATTATACTTCTTATTGTAAGCAATTTTTGTTAAAGTTAATTTTTAAAGAAACCTTCAGTTATTGTTTTCCTGATGAATTTTTGTATAAATAAACAACAAATGTATATAATTAATATATTTTGTAAATCTGTTCATATGCATGTATATAAGATTATTTACTATTTATTTATTTTAACCACAAGCCTTTCATCAACTACTACTAGTAGTACGTTTCTCTTTGCGTCTTTTTGTTTTTGTATTTTTTGTTTCCTTTTGTTTTATTTAGTTGTTGATTTCATTAAGTGTTTCTTCTGAGCATGCGTAAGTGTTTGTTCATATACTATACGATGATGAGAAGATGCGAGTCTAAAGTTTAAATATTAAACTCGTATTTGCATATTTCTACAGACTTTTTTTTAAGCACAAATATTTATCTTTCATTTAGCAAAATATACATTATACTATGTATAGACAGTTACATACACGTACTTTTCTACAATATTTTGTTTATAAATATCTGTCTGATATTGTCAGTTCTCAATGCGTTTGTATTTCTATGTGTGTTAAAAAGATCAATAAACTATAGAAAAACAATAATTACTCAGTTTTCAATAGTATTTTCTTTATTTTCATTTTTTTTTCGTTTTGTGAAAACAATGCAACTTTGTGATTTTCTTTCATTTTTGTTTATGTTTAACACAGTTTCGTTATTACACCATTTCAAAGGAGATAAACTTCACAAATTAAATTTAAGTTCTGACTATCTAAAGATAGTTTAATTTTCATTAATCCTCAGTTATAGTGGTAAGTTACATGGACGTAAACTAGTCTATGAGTTTGGCTGTTGCACAAATTGATCTTAAGGTCGAAGAGCTTCCTTGAATTTGGGAGTTTAGGGCTCGACACTACTGCTGAGAAACAGAAGTACTAAATAACTTATCGCCCCTGCTATACTTTCTACGTGATGATTTCGTTTTACTACTTTATATTTACGACCTAATGGGAGTTTGAGTTCTTACGGAAGTTGTTACAGATCTAGGTCGGACACTTCGACCCAAATTTAGGAGTTTCCAGTTTCCTTTTTAGCATTACGAATACTACAGTCAGACCGAATGATTTTGATTTTGGCATAGGGATGATATAGTTAAGTTTTCTTGAGAGAACGGTTCCAATATTTTTCAATTTTTTCCGAGTAACTAGACTTAAAGTCTTACGAGATTTTGAGGAGTTTAATACTTCTGCTGTAAGTGAAATTCTTGTAGGTCTAAGTTGAAGAATTTAAAGCAAGTTAGCTATTGATGATGAAGTTCTTTCCGGATCTCCTATTAGGATCAATATGTATGTTTACAACTCAAGAAGGGAACGGTTTTAATACTTTATATGAAAGGGATCTGTGATTATCTCGAATCAAAAGTTCTAGACATTCTGTGGTAGGTTTTTGGACTAATCTACGCGAGGTGCTTCTTCGTCCACTAAATATTCAAACTAGTCGTGACTGGTTCTTTAAGGTTTACGGTTCGGTTCTACTTCTTATACTTAAACATGAAGATTTTCTAATTTTAACGACTGCTGTCTGAATTAATTATATTTTAAGACCGATATGGTTGTATTGAACTAATATTTCAATGAAAGTATTTAATACTCTAACAAATTCACCACCTTCTACCAAGTATTAGAATTTTAGATTTCTTCCAACAATATTTTTTGGGGCAACAATCGGACACTTTTTTCAGTTTCATTTGTGGGTCCGTTAATGCGGAACCAAAATATGTATGTGGTATGTCTGACAACAACAGCAGAAAAAAAATAATATGATGAAGTTTGCTAGTTACAGCAATTGCAGCAAATATTGATGACTGACGACCGACTACTTCCATACCAACCAGGCAAATCTAAAAAACTGCACAGTGTTTGTTATTATTATTATTGTTGTTGTTGGTTTTTAGTATTTACGTTTTTTTTATTGTTGTTCTGTTTCAACCATTTGCGGCATTAGTTGGAGTTTATAAAGAGAGTATGTTGAAGTGCCTATGTATATTTGCCATGAATTGTTGTAATGTGGTTTGGTCATAGAATTTAAGACCTAACAACAACAGGCAGGAGGTGAAGGTGTTGTTGGTTAAGCATTGGCGTCGTTTACTTATTTACAGTTTGGTTGGTTTTATGATTATTTTTCTTTAGTTCTCCTTTTCCCCGACTTCCCTAACTGACTGACGGACTGACTGACTTTGTGGCTGTGGTGGTGGTAATTAAATTTATACTCTTTGTTAAAACTTAGTACGTATTAAGCATACACTTTTATTATTATTAATAATAATTGTTGTTGTCGTTGTTGTAGCTGTTCAATGTTTAAACTACAAGTCAGCATAATTGTTTGCACATACTCAAATCATTTTTGCACTGAGAAAATTTGTTGTTTTTGATTTTAATAACTCGTCGAGTCGTCATAAGCTGCTTAAGATATGTGGGAATATTTAACTGAAAAAAAACTAGACCACTAAAGTTCGGTGCTATAAGGAAAATATATGAACAGTAATTACTGCCAAAGTTAGACAGGATCAACGTAAACTTTGTTTACGTTTTTTTTCATTAAATATTTGATTGATGTGAACGTATTTTTAAGATAAATTTAATATTTATGTTATTACGTTTTATTTTTTTATATATTCTTTAAAAAGTTCATTGATATTTTCACATATTTATGATAAATTTCTAAATATTTTGCCATTTAAAAAAAATATGTTTGTATAAAATTGATTAGTAATATTACTATTGATGGTTATGAACAAATTTATAATTATTCATTTAAAAGAATTGTATAGTTTTTTTGTTAATTTGAAAACAGCATTTGAACTAACAGTTTGTTTATTTTATACAAATATTTTGAATATATATTTAACAAATAGTTCGTAATTATAAGAAAAACATAATAAAGAATGTAAATAGCTGAAAAGTTATCAGAATTAGCTTTCATTTGATATACAATTGGACTAAAAACAGACAATATATTACGTTTTGGATATATATATAGAATCCGTCTCCCATCTCTTAATGGTTCGTTTTTGCAGACGCTTTTAAATTGAAGTCTAATAGTTCAAACAAAGTCTTGGTTTCGCAATTTCATTTCAAGAAACGATGAACATTTAAAAATTGTAGAAACGGTGATAGAGCTTTGAACATAAATTATATAATTCCTGTTTCGTAGAACAACTGAAAGAAATTCCATTCTAAAGAACATACTCTCATTGTTATTATTACCCATTTGGTAATTCCTTTTCTCTAAGTGTTCTTTGCATACATGCAATAACAAAGTTACACATGTCTCTGTCTGATAAGTTATGAGTATCATTGTATAGAGACCCTTCGTAGTCGTACGAGTACAAACATAAATGAACTTTCTGCCAACTTCTACATATAAATTTTTTTCTAAACTTTACTTTTTCTTCTTCTTCTTCTAGTGTTTTTTTTTGTCGTTGTTGTTTTGTTTTCTGTTGAATTTCTCAATTTTCTTTTGGTTTTTTTTTCACAACTTTTTTTTCCATTTTGCAATCACTGAGCTCATATTTCATAATTTTCATATTCCTGGTAGTCGTACAATGTGTCATAACTGTTGTGGACTAGTAGTAACATAGAGTTTGGGTTTGGAAAGTGTATGTGTCGTTTTTCAAAAAACCAACCGATATACAATAGAGTGTATGGTTAGAGTACAGTAGTTGCTCTCATTACGCGGATTTTTTTTGTTTGCAACAAACATGTTTCATAGTCCACAAATTAATTGCTTTAGTTGTAGAAAAATTTGAACTTGAATATCAGTTCACCGACATTCATTTCTATATGTGGACTATAAAGTGTTAATTTGTGAAATTTATAACAGGATTATATTACAATTGGCTATTGAAAGTTAATTTCAAATTTTTATTTTATTGATATAATTTGCCAAAACACCCACAACTCTCATGGCTAAACGAGTACCAAGTGTAATGGACGGGACTGAAATGACTTCTGTGTCTGGTCTTTGGTCTTTATTTGCCATACGTGGTAAATTGAGTGCTTGCTGTAGGTTTATGCCGACCGCCTGAGTGATTTTCTTTTTAAGGAATTTCAGACTTGACAGGTAATAAACTTTGTGGTCTCTTCAAATGTGAATCATAATCACAATAGAGTTTATGACTCGTACGAAAAAATTTATATTGCATTAATAATAACAATAATGTAGGAATATGTATGTATGAATGAGGGCGCGAGGGGCTTTTTGGCTATGGCTTAGTTACTGTTACTTACAAAAATTTCCTATTAATCCTTGTTTTATCACCTTTTTGACATTTTAGCACTGAAACTTCATTAACACTTCAAAGAGTTGTCTATGTATGCAATAAATGTGCATTGACATTAAAAACAACTACTACTACTAGAAAAATTTTGTTTAAAATTTATTGTTTAAGCCTTTTGGCATTATTACGGTATATGTATAGCGGCGGTATAACATAAAAATTGGAAATTCATATGCCAATAAATCGTAAGGAGAGTATTGTATGGAATGTAGAGACAGGTGTGGGCAATACATAGTTCGTTAATGGTTGATTTCAGAAAAAAATCTAAGAATGTAATCAAATCTTTTGATTTGTAAGAAATTGGATTCTCTTAATGAAGCTGCTTTCTAATTGTCATCTTCTAGAGAAGATAATGATTTGAAAGCAAATAGTTGGACAATCTAACTTGGTTAGTTGTATTTGGAATATATTTGTTGTATTAATAAACCTTTTACAGTTGCAGTTGTAGTTCATTATTCGTTTGATAGAACAAAATCTTAAATTTTGATCGTATTATTTGATTCCTTTGAAGAGTAAGATTTATGTTATCGATTAGTTTACTTTGTTGGCTCTCTCTATTTGTCCACTCTCTTTTAATTGAGAATAGAGAACGGAACTAGAGTTGT